TCTCACTTTCACTTCTCTCCTGTTCTTCTCCTCTTTCTCTCTCTTCTTCTCTTTCTCTCTCTTCTTCTCTTTCTCTCTCTTCTTCTCTTTCTCTCTCTTCTTCTCTTTCTCTCTCTTCTTCTCTTTCTCTCTCTTCTTCTCTTTCTCTCTCTTCTTCTCTTTCTCTCTCCAGTCTGGTCGCTCTTCATGTTAGAGTAAATCTCACTCAGTCGGACTCGGCGTCTTGTTCAGTTTTTGTCTTTTCCTCGTTCTACATTTCAGACACAGAAGACGTCGATATGAACGTCTGTGGATTTATGGAGGAAAAAAGTGAAACGACTAATATTACAAATATTTTTAATATTTTCCATTCAAACCCTCAGAGTCTCAAGTCCCTGAAATGGTTTTGTCTTCAGGTCTGAGCCTCAGGTCAGGAGCAGAGACCAAAGGGTAAAGATCCTTCAGAGTGAGTTTATGTTTCTCCATCGCTCCAACGTTTCAGTGACAATCTACAGTGTGAACAACCCAAGGTGTGAACAGTCTACAGTGTGAACAATCTATGTCTACAGTGTGAACAGTCTACAGTGTGAACAGTCTACAGTGTGAACGGTCTAGGGTGTGAACAGGGTGAACAGTCTAGGGTGTGAACAGTCTAGGGTGTGAACAGTCTACAGTGTGAACAACCTAAAATGTGAACAGTGTGAACAGGCTACAATGTGAACAGATTAAAGTGTGAACAGTCTAGGGTGTGAACGGTCTAAGGTGTGAGGAATCACAGGAGTAAAGCAGAAACCTGGATGAACATGAGTATAAACGTCTGAGCCTCGTGTTTCTGATGTTTGAACAAAAGTTTAAAGATGCACTGTGTAACTTTTCCATTGAGGTCCTCTCACCTGCTTGTTTCCATGGAGATGTCATTGTTCTGTCTGGAATGTTCCGCAGTGTGACTTTAAACAGCTCGACTTTACATTTACTCAAATACAGGTGCAGGTTTTAAAGCTCAAAAATACCTTGAAAAACAGGCAGGGGTCGCCTCTCCACAGATCTGACCTGGAACAACATCCCGTTTGGTCTCCAAGAAGATAGAAAGGTTTAATGCCGCACTGTGGAACATTCCAGACAAAGCAGTAACATCTCCATGGAGAAAAGCGTCTGACGGAGGCTTTAACATGAAGATTATTTTTGCTTTTATTTCATTTCAGCCACAAAACAATTTGATGATGTTTTATTCTGAACTCAGATCAAACAGAAAAAAACAAACACAGAATTTCACTTCTGATTTTAACATTTCATAAATGAATCTTTGACAGTATTTTCAAATTATTTAAACAAAAACTGAATTAAAAAAAAAAAAAAAAAGTGTTTTAAAAAGAAATCAGAAAGAAAAAAAAGATTTCAACCTCCACCAATGAGCCCCAACACCGCCCACTGCCACCAAAAGAACCAAGACCAGAAACAGAACCAGACCAGGACCAGGACCAGAAACAGAACCAGACCAGGACCAGGACCAGAAACAGAACCAGACCAGGACCAGAAACAGAACCAGACCAGGACCAGGACCAGAACCAGACCAGGACCAGGACCAGAAACAGAACCAGACCAGGACCAGGAATCAGACCAGGACCAGGACCAGAAACAGAACCAGACCAGGACCAGGAATCAGACCAGGACCAGGACCAGAAACAGAACCAGACCAGGACCAGGAATCGGACCAGGAATCGGACCAGGAATCAGACCAGGACCAGGACAGAAACCAGAACCAGAAACAGAACCAGACCAGAAACAGAACCAGACTAGGACCAAAGACCAGGACCAGGGACCAGGACCAGGGACCAGAGACCAGAACCAGACCAGGACCACAAACAGAGCCGGACCGGGACCAGAAACAGAACCAGAGACCAGGACTAGGCCATAGACCAGAATGAGACCAGGACCAGAGTCTAGACCAAAAATAGGAGAACCAACGACCACAGAGGAGAGACCAAACCAGAGTCCAGACCAGAGACGCTCCACGGAGACTCACAGAACCAGACTGTTTTACTGTTTTACTGTTTTGAGTCGAGATGTTTGTAAAATCCCTCAGTCGTCCAGAATCCACAGCAAAGTAGAAATTTTATTTGTCAACTGGACAAAAGTTTATTTTAGTCAAAAACCTTCCTCAGTTCATCCGAGCTGTTTCTTCAGTTCTGGTCAGACGTGGTGATACTTCCTTATATCTGCCTGAAGGAGGAGCTAACTACACTGAAACTCCTCTGGAACTAACACGCACACGTTTACAGTTTGTGTTTGTAGCTCGGTCTGTTGATCTCGTACAGAGTGTGGGTCACATCAGCAGAATCACTGAGGTCCCTGATGGAGCTTTCACACATCTGGACCTGACCTGGACCTCACCGTTGTTCTCTTTGTTTTGTCTTGTTTTGGTTCTGAGGTCGGATTTGTAAATCAGAGACCGATGGTGTCTGAAGCCTCCATTTCTGTTTAAGGAAGGTTTGTCTTTCCTCACAAAAAAAAAACACCTCTTTAACTTTCCTCTAAAACCAAAGATGTGGACCTCACTGGAGATGTTGGGCAGACTGAGGTCCTTTTAGGTGGAGGTTTTACATCAGACTGAGGTCCTGTGTTGCTCTCTCGTCTGTGTTGGTTCATCGTCTTGTGAAGTGTCTTGTTTCTGTCTTCACTTCACTGAATGGAGTGTTTCAGTTTCAGAGTAGTTTCAGTGTAGTTAGCTCCTCCTTCAGGCAGATATGAGGACGTGTCACCAGTGTCTGACAGTTTATTGGACATAAATAAACTTTTGTCCAGTTGACAAATTGAATTTCTCCTTTTGTCTTGTTTTGAGTCAAATTTTTATTATTTGTACATTTTATTTTGAGAGTTAAAGTCAGAGGTTCTTCCGAGACTCTGTGAATCAAAAACAAAAGACTGAAAAGTTTAAAAGTTCAAGTGTTTTGGTCCTTTTGGTGTCGTGTGCAGCGAACGGAGCGACTCAAAGCAGCCCTGAAACACAACACACAAAGGTTCAGAGGTCAAACTCAAATGTCTCACCTGCTTCACCTGCCTCACCTGCCTCACCTGCCTCACCTGCCTCACCTGTCTCACCTGTCTCACCTGTCACACCCGTCACTCACCTGTCTCACCCGCCTCACCTGTCCTCACCCGCCTCACCTGTCACCTCACACCCGCCTCACCTGTCCTCACCCGTCTCACCTGCCTCACCTGTCTCACCTAACCTCACATGTCTTACCTGTCTCACCTGTCACACCCGCCTCACCTGTCTCACCTAACCTCACCTGTGTCACCTGTCTCACCTAACCTCACCTGTGTCACCTGTCTCACCTAACCTCACCTGTCTCACCTGTCTCACCTAACCTCACCTGTCCCACCTGTCTCACCTAACCTCACCTAACCTCACCTGTGTCACCTGTCTCACCTAACCTCACCTGTCCCACCTGTCTCACCTAACCTCACCTGTGTCACCTGTCTCACCCGTCTCATCTAACCTCACCTGTCTCACCTGTCTCACTCGCCTCACCTGTCCCACCTGCCTCATCTGTCTCACCTAACCTCACATGTCTTACATGTCTCACCTGTCCCACCTGCCTCACCTGTCTCACCTGTTTCACCTAACCTCACCTGTCTCTCCTGTCTCACCTGCCTCACCTGTCTCACCTAACCTCACCTGTCTCCTGTCTCACCTGCCTCACCTGTCTCACCTAACCTCACCTGTCTCTCTTGTCTCACCTGCCTCACCCGCCTCACCTGTCTCACCTGTCTCACCTAACCTCACCTGTCTCACCTAACCTCACCTGTCTCACCTAACCTCACCTGTCCTCTTGTCTCACCTGTCCCACCTGCCTCACCTGTCTCACCTGTTTCACCTAACCTCACCTGTCTCTCCTGTCTCACCTGCCTCACCTGTCTCACCTAAACCTCACCTGTCTCTCTTGTCTCACCTGCCTCACCCGTCTCACCTTGTCTCTCCTGTCTCACCTGTCTCACCTAACCTCACCTGTCTCACCTAACCTCACCTGTCTCACCTAACCTCACCTGTCTCACCTAACCTCACCCCGCCTCACCTGCCTCACCCGCCTCACCTGCCTCACCTGCCTCACCTGACCTCACCTAACCTCACCTGTCTCACCTGCCTCACCTGTCTCACCTAACCTCACCTGCCTCACCTGCCTCACCTGTCTCAGCTCAGGTTAAACTACAGTGCTTTAAAGTGCAAACCAAACTGACTGAACTGTAAACCCTGGGGTCACGGGGCAAAAGTCTCGACCGATTGAGCCACAGACTGAGACAGGCTCAAGCAAAACACGGGAACAAAGCGCCTCCCACAGGACGACGACGGTACAACACTCAAAACAAAAATAATAAGTCTTAATATTTTGCATTTTTTTACTTTTAAAGCTCCTTTTTTTTTTTTTTTTAACACCAAACTGACTCTCGTGAGCTTCAAGTCACACAGAGCTGGAGTTGTGTTTGTTTGAGTAAATCTTTATTATTCGTCTGTTTACATCTGCAAAGCTCCAAACGCTCTGCTCCACCCTGTGATGTCATCAAGTGGGAGTTTTCAACAGTTTGAAAACAGCTCCTTTTCACTTTCAGTCCAGTCGAGATCGGCGACTCTGGGACTGAAAAATGATCCAGATGATTCTAGTGAAAGAGTGTGGAGTTTAAAAACACAGCGGAGCACTTCCTGTATCACCACCTGATGACATCACAAGGTGGAACAGAGTGTTTTCATTTTGAGAGAAGAACTCAGAACTCTCAATGTGCAGGAAAAAAACACAACTCCAGGTCTGAGTGTGACGAGGAAACGACAAAGTGTAACATGAATCTTTAAAAGCAAAAAGGACAAAAATTCCTTGTTTGTTTTATGTAAAATTTAAATAAAATCTCAAAATAATTGAGCCCCGATAATTGAATCCTGTCCTCGTTCAGTCCTGAGTCGCCTCTTGAGTTTTAGAGTTTAAAGTTTGTGTTTTTAAAGTTTGCGTTTTTAAAGTTTGCGTTTTTACCTTTGGTCTGGTCCAGGTCTGAGCCGGCCTCTGATTGGCTGGGAGGTCTGTAAGGGGGCGGGTCTCTCGGAGGGGGCGGGGCTAATGCCAGCTTCTGTAAAAACAAACAAACATGAATAATAAAAGTGTTATAACGTATACACAATCATAAAACACAAATAATTAGAATATTAGAATTAAAATAATTCCATATTTTTACAGTGTGATCCGTGTTCCATTCGTTCTTTTGAATTTCAATTAAGAACGAAAAACAATAAAACGGGAAAAGTTTATTTCATTTTTCTGTTTTAGTGTCAAACAAAAAAACTGATTTCGATTTCTATTTCCAATATTTAATTTAAAGTTTATTTCAAATCATATCAATTAAAAAACAGTCTCCTGACTATTTTAATTTAGATATTTTATTCTCTGGTTTATTTAAAGTCCAAAGGAGAGTTTATCTCTGCTTCTGTTTCTCGTCGTGGATCAACAGTGACTTTCTAAAACGTGAAAATAAACACGTGTCGCTGTAAAAGAAGAAACATGAAGAAGAAACATGTTTGTCACAAAACTGCAACGATTTTTCAGCTTCATCCTTCAGCAGCAGAACTTCAAATAAACCAGAGAGAATAAAATATCAACATTAAAATATAAATGAAATAAACTTTAAATTAAATATTGGAAATAAAGGCCAAAATCTGTTTTGTTTTTTTTATACTATAACAGAAAAATTTTGCATCATTTGATTGTTTTTTATTCTTAATTGAAATTCAAAGGAGCAAACGGCACGTGGGCCCAGAGCTCCAGAGCAAAACGGTTTTTGCATAAATAATTCATTCATTTATCACGCTCGGATAAAAATCTAAATACTAAATATATAAAATAACACAATTTTCCAAGTCAGGGTAATAAAATTGATAAATAAATGGATCACAGTTTATTCATAAGTACAATCGCAGCTGGAACGAAGCTTAATTTTATTTACAGACTTGATATTTTGCGCTTTTGTAGCCAAGACCTGAAATTAAGCTTTTTTTATGTCCAAAAATTTGTTTCTACATGTTTGTGTGAGTTTGTGTGAAAGAGTGAATTTTCTTGTCTTTTTTTTGTTTTTGTTTTTCATGTGTATTTCTGGTCCTGTAGTTGTTTTTTTTTAGCAGCAGATTGTAGTGGGGAAAAAAAATTATAACACTTCATTAGGTGGTAAAAGGGGCAGTTTTAACAACAAAATTAAGAAAATAAATCCAGGTGAGGACAAATGTAGTAAAATTACCCTCAGGTTTGGAAGTTAAACTGATTCAGGGAGTTTTTTGTTTTTAGAAGAGATGCTCCAAAACATGAGACCAGTGAAAAAAGTTCAAACTGATTCAATAAACGTTTTACGAGTGTGGACGTGTGGAGGTGCTGCCCTCTGCTGGACACACACACACACTGCGCTTGACAGTGTTGGGAAGATTACTTTTAAAATGTAATCCCCTACAGATTACAGATTACATACACCAAAATGTAGTTTGTTACGTAATCCATTAAATTACTTAAAGTGAGTAATGTAATCTGATTACTTTGGATTACTTGATTTGCTGTAGAGAAACAAAGACGAGGAAATCTTCAAATAAGAAGTTTTGTCTGATAAAAGAAAATAAAAAGTCCAGATTTTACTGAACCAAATTAAAAATATTATTGATAGAAGAAGAAGAGACACGTACGCGCGGCAGGATTTAGTCCTGTTAAATTGTGTTTTAGACCTGGTTTAGACCTGGTTTGGACCTGGTTTTAGACCTGGTTTAAGACCTGGTTTAGACCTGGTTTAGACTTGTTTTAGACCTAGTTTTAGACCTGGTTTTAGACCTGGTTTAAGACCTGGTTTAGACCTGGTTTAGACCTGGTTTAGACCTGTTTTAGACCTAGTTTTAGACCTGGTTTTAGACCTGGTTTAGACCTGGTTTAGACCTGGTTTAGACCTGCTTTTAGACCTGCTTTTAGACCTAGTTTTAGACCTAGTTTTAGACCTAGTTTTAGACCTGGTTTAGACCTGGTTTAGACCTGGTTTAGACCTGGTTTAGACCTAGTTTTAGACCTAGTTTTAGACCTGCTTTTAGACCTGGTTTAGACCTGGTTTAGACCTAGTTTTAGACCTGCTTTTAGACCTGGTTTAGACCTGGTTTAGACCTTTAGACCTAGTTTTAGACCTGCTTTTAGACCTGGTTTAGACCTAGTTTTAGATCTGCTTTAGTCCTGGTTTAGACCTAGTTTTAGACCTAGTTTTAGACCTGCTTTTAGACCTGGTTTAGACCTGGTTTAGACCTAGTTTTAGACCTGCTTTTAGACCTGCTTTTAGACCTAGTTTTAGACCTAGTTTTAGACCTGCTTTTAGACCTGGTTTAGACCTGGTTTAGACCTGGTTTAGACCTAGTTTTAGACCTGCTTTAGTCCAGGTTTAGTCCTGGTTTAGTGTCCAAACAGGAAAATCCCTCTGTGTAATCCATTTACTTCAACAAAGTAACTGTAATCCAATTACCACTCACTGAAACAGTAACTGTAACTGAATACAGTTACTCATCATTTGTACTCTGATTACTCTGGTACATGTAATCTGTTACTCCCCGACACTGGCGCTTGGACAGAAATCAAATCAAATCAAGTGTAGATGTTCCTGACCGGAGACGTGTTCCTCTTGGCTCGGTGTTTGCTGTAACTCGGCGCCAGGACGGACACGGGCTGAAGAGGGACAGGACCAGACACACGTGAGCTTTAAACGCTCAAATCAAGTCAAATCAAGTCAAATCAAAGAGTTTAAATCTGGTGTGAGACGGAGGATCTGACCCTGGGAGCGCTGGACAGACTCTGGACCACAAACTGAACCGGACTCTGAGACGACTTTATCACGTCCACCGCCTCATCGTGAGACGCCGCGCGCAGGTCCACGCCGTTCACCTGCAGCGAGACCAAACACCGGGGTTAGTCCAGGTCTGGTCCTGGTCGAGTCCTCGAGTCCTGGTCGAGTCCTGGTCGAGTCCTGGTCAAACCTCCTGGATCTTGTCTCTGGTCTGGAGGTTCTGACTTTGGCCTGCAGGACTGTGTTAGTCCTGGTTTAGTCCGGGTCTGTGGTTTAGTCCTGATTTAGTCCGGGTCTGTGGTTTAGTCCTGGTTTAGTCCGGGTCTGTGGTTTAGTCCTGGTTTAGTCCGGGTCTGTGGTTTAGTCTTGGTTTAGTCCTGCTTTAGTCCTGATCCGTGGTTTAGTCCCGGTCCGTGGTTTAGTCCCGGTTTAGTCCTGGTTTAGTCCCGGTTTAGTCCTGGTTTAGTCCTGGTTTAGTCCTGGTTTAGTCCTGGTTGTCCTGGTCTGTGGTTGTCCTGGTTCAGTCCCTGGTTCAGTCCCTGGTTCAGTGCTGGTTTAGTGCTGGTTTAGTCCTGGTTTAGTCCTGGTTTAGTCCTGGTTTAGTCCTGGTTTAGTCCTGGTTTAGTCCTGGTCTGTGGTTCAGTCCTGGTTTAGTCCCAGTCTGTGGTTCAGTCCCTGGTTTAGTCCCTGGTTTAGTCCCTGGTTCAGTCCTGGTTTAGTTCTGGTCTCAGTCTGTGGTCTCAGTCTCACCTCCAGTTTTGGCCAGACTGTGGGTTTAGTCCTGGTCCCTGGTGTCAGTCCTGGTCTGTGGTCTGTGGTCTCGGTCCTGGTCTCAGTCTCGGTCTCACCTCGAGGATCTTGTCCCCGGTCTTGAGGTTCTGGCTCTGGGCGGCCGGACTTTGGGGCAGGACTTGTTTGATGAAGATTCCTTTGAGTTCTTCTCCGTTCCTGAGTCGTTTGATCACGTGACGTCCTCCCACGATGCTCAGACCCAGAGACTGACCCGGCGCCACCCACACCGCCACCCTGAGCCAATCAC